GGAAGATAGTTTATTGCAAATGAAAGAACTCGAAGATAACTAAGTGTACTTACTATTACCCTGTGTTACATACATATCTGCATACAAACAACCACATGAGAACAACATACATAATACGACGGTTGTGTGACGAAAGTCATTTCATGTGGAGTGGAATCAATTTTAGAATCAGATTGGACTACGATCTCTCAATATGTGTAATTCTGTCGGTTGTAATCAATGAAATCGAAATATTTATGTGAAAATACATGTGAATGTTCTCAGAAGCAGCAAACCTCGAAACTAGCAGCTACAACCAGTAAGTAGATTTCAGCTACATCTCACTTCTTAGTTGCTCACTTAAGGAGGAGTACTCATGTGATGATTATCATTCTGACTTTGATCATATCCAGTTTACTTTTCGTTACTCCATTGACGCATACCAAAATGAATATTTTAGTTCATTAGTTAATGAAATTAGTTATTTTGAAAAATGTTCAGCTGTGGTATCACGTAGAGTCACACACAACCAAACATTACAATGCGATAAAGTGCTACTAATTATATTTGGTATTACAGTTTGGAGGTGGAGACCTGATACTTTATTCAAGTAATCAACCCAGAACTGGCTCAGTACGATTGACTCGACACCTATCCGAGACATCTGGAGAATTCTATTAACCAACCTTACAACAAACAGGGTAGAAGACAGTGAGAATATACAAATCGAGTTTCGAAGTCGTGTGATTATAATTGATGTGTTCGAGACGTCACTCAGTCGATGAAACTATTCTACTTTGTGATACATCCAACAATCAAACTAGTGAGATTACTAACTGAGATTACTAACTGGAATAACTTTAAATTCGCCATTTGACAGGGGATGTTCTGAACTAGTTCAAAAACAGAATACTTATGAGAGGAAGATCATTTTCACTTCACCATCCAATTCCCTGGAATGCTGTTTCTGATTTCGTCATCACATAGCCACCCACCCTCAAATTCCGTGGAGATATCTGCCACATGTAATTGTTTGTCACATCAAGACTGAAATCCTTCATATTAATTCCATCCTCATACGTACACCCATTTGACAATTACTTCATTCGGGGATTATCTGTGAGAGATGAGAATTGTCGTATCTGTACAGAACAATGATTTCATGTGATACAAGCACATACGAACGGTTTAACATGTCAGATTAAGTGGAAGTCTGATGCTACTGATATCATCCTTATATCTCTGCAATATCCTGTCTGCAGCCAAACGAATTTACATAGACACATTGCGAACATCTTCATTGGCCTGAGTCATTCATTGTCAAACACAACATTTATCGTTCATGGTGTCGCACACATACACACAGACCAGACTACTCATATCATATGTAACACTTCATTGAGTTCGAAAGCCTACAAAATATCACTAATGAATTATTATTCGTATGCTCAACTGATTGGTGAACCTTTCAAGTATATGCAATCAGATAACGCATTCGAGCTGTCCTGAAACCTTTCACAACTATTCATCTTTCTTTCAAAATTATATGAAAGTTTGAGTCTCTCAATCGACCATATTTCTCTGACAACGTAGATCGATCGTCGCACTCACTGATGCTTGTGGTATGCTCTCACATTAAAACTTTATCATTGACAAGATATTTATTGTATTCAGAAAGGGTATATTGTTTTGTGACCACTGTGTTACTCCGCTTCTTCTTCCTCGCCTTCTCAGAAATGTTGAAGTGTAGAGTCAGTTTGAAAAACAGTGATATATTTGTACATGTACATTTGATGGTGTTGATGTTCACAGGTATATTTTGTTTATTTTTCTTATAGCAGAACACTGATATCAGTGTGAATGTCTGTGCAAGTAATGACAAACTTCATATGAGAAAGAGGACCAATGATTATCATATCGTAATCAATGGGAATAAGAAATCACAGAAATCAGAATAAAACTGAATACGACTGAAGAGTGACATTTTCCTATTCAACTGTCTACCGAAAAAGATTGGTTGGAAGAAGTATTTTAAAAATTAGGCATGTTTGTTGTTTCTTTGAAGAAGGATGCTAAAGTACTTTCGAGAATGCCGTACATGCTGATCGTACAAAGCCAGATTATGAAAGCTGTGGTGAATTCTACAGCAATTAAATCCATCCACCAAGCGATCAAGTCATAATTATTGACACAAGTGAACAAAAACTACAAAGTAGAGAAAGAGAAAGATTATTGACAGAGATGAGTGAATACAGGCGATCATCTCAACTGTACAGTAATTCATATTTCACCGTATTTAATTAATTATAATTATCTAGCCGATGTGATAGGACTGTTTTCATTTGATGAAATATCGACACCTGAAACAATGAGGAATTCTCTACACATTCACTGTCGGCTTACAGGTCATACTTGAGCAGATGATTCTAAACTTATTTGTCGATTAAACGTGAGCGGTAGTTTAATAAGAATTATTTCTCGAATTGTTTCAGTCTTTCAAATACATCTGGTGATATGCATCACTTCTAGTTTGATTTACTGTCTCAATTTGCTTGGATCGTATTATCTTTTATCCTCTAACCAATAAGACAAATTTCCTCCAGGATCATTAACAGACTCATGGATTGGTGATAAATCGAGACTAATGTCTGTCTGTTGGCAATATTTTAGTGAGAATTCGGTTCACACCTTGAAGAAGATTTCAGTTGCAGAATGACGGGTCGAGTGTGTCATTATTCATTTTATGATTTGTCAGTCTCAAATGCGCAGTGAGGTTGTTGGAAATCTTTAAATGTAAGTGCGTATGGCTGATTAGGGAATATGATATCATTGATAAACAGCATTCAATCTAAATAATACAAGCTGCCTAACAATCCAGCCACTTCCTACACACACAAACCGAATTCGTATGATACAATCACTATTAGCTAGTTGTCGTTTTATTCAGAACTCGCATAAATTCGAATCATGATTACTACATCACAGTGAAAAGCGTGACTCTACCATAATTTCAGTGATTTAGAAATCCGTCAAGTGCAACACTGTGCAACATCATCCACTCTGGAAATGCACTCTCAAATATCGTGGATAGGTTCACGTGCCTCGTGATGTAATATGGACACAAATCGACTATGCGATGTTGTGACTCACACTGCAATTCTGCGACCATCAAATAACTGATGTGATTCGTGTAATTTACTCGTCAAAATAAACGTGCCTGATACACCGATAAAATAATAAAATGACAAACTTACGAAGAGTATGAATAATATACAGAAAGCTACTGCCAGAGTGAAAATAATCTGCATTGAAAATACGAAGAAAAAGAAATAAATCATGAGGGAAGAGGTACACTCACATGCTTTGTCAATCTATGCAAATTACAACATTGACATATCAACTGGTTTGAGATCTGCTGACACTGAGAAATATCAATGCATTCTGACAGTTGAATCACACCTGTCAGTGACACTGGCTGCATGTTGTGAGGCTAAAATATGCGAATATATGTCATTCACTCAATATAAACAACTTCTGCATCACTTCACACTTCTTATCGGACAACAGAAATGTCATTGTTCACTAGGCCACTTCGACTACAGTCACATCTCTGTTAGTCCAATATATATTCCGTGGAATGTGACAGTCACACCAGAGAACTGTTGCCAAATGAGCTATATTCAATATGTATACGTGACAAGGAAATTGACGAGGTTAGGTGTTAATATATCGAATTGTTCTTCACTCTTCCAATCAAAATATAGAATTCGAAGAGACAGCATGAACGACAAGTGTATCAGGATGAAATGATGCCATTCTTTATCATTTCACGCCTTACCATCAGGTGCCTAAAACCTGATCCATCCAAAAATATGGAGTACACGTAATATTTCATGTAGGTTTGAGGCGATGATAAGCAGTAGTGGATGGGAATTATTAGTGACATTATCCCGGAATGATGTAGGCTGTTAAATATGCTCAATAATCGAGAATATTGACTATTCATAGGATGACCAGTAGGATATTCTTGAAACCAAACTCACTGTGAGCTGTTTTGAATGTTAACAATATTTGACATGCATGAAAATGAGGATACAGATGGTTACCTAACTAGCGAAAATGACTTTCTATAAACCAGCAGGTCAGAAGTAATCAGACTGAGTTTGAAATGAAAATGTGGAGTCTTCTGGAGTGAACAAGAGGCGTCAGTGGAGAATACATGACATGATTGACATTCTACTACTTGGTTTTGTGAGTTTAATGGGCAGGATGAATCAAGGTCTAACACTGGCTATTTTTGCGCACATAGTTTTGATTTGAATCGTTGGATTGAGGAAATTGGAGCAATGATGGTTTCCGCTGGCAGTTTTCGCCTAATATTCTCTAAATACAAATTTCATTATTCGAGGAATTCGTCCCTGATGCTCCCATCAGTTGTTCCTTGTCACCGCACTAGGAGACACTGGGAAGAGACTGTGAAGTCATAAGAGCAACATTAGTCTCAGTGTGAACAGTGTTCATATAATGCACAGAAGTTTCAGTGGAAAGCATCGCATAATAGTTTCCACTTGTCCAGGATCTTTAAATACAGTAGTAAGTGACAGTGGATGGTGGGACACATATCTGTCTGGCTTAAAGCTCAAACCAATTCCTTATCAAATCTCTTCCTCATTTCATTCCCGAAATGATGTCATCTCATCCTCTTATATTTGATGTTCCTGCTTCGCTGATCCTCCTGGGAGGAATCAAATGAGATTCCAAAGTGTGGAATTATTACTGAAATTCGGATGCAGTGGGATTTTTCTGAATGAAGTGAAGATTTCATATCTTTTGACCAATAACATACAAATAATTTATGCATTATAGACACTAATTCATGCAATTACTTTTTGTTCGAATAGCACAGAGAAAATGGTCAAAATGACTCCCGTAATCGCAGATGTCCATGTCACAGAGTTAAACACTACCAACCCCTTCACATTCATTCGAGGCAAGAGCATAGCCGTCACAATTATTGGAACTTCCACCACAAGTATACAGGCCAGAGATATGAGTCCAGCTTTCAGTCCAACAGGTGACAAAACAGCAGCCAATACCACAGACAACGTTGCGATCTATGACAAAAAGGAAGGTGAATTAAGAACATGTGATCACACTGGATAGATTCATACACAAATATAAACACACATATTTACAATGACTACTGAAAATACAGTAAATTCTCAACCCTGTATAGACAAACAGATAAGCCACATTGTTATCACTCACAATCAATCACAAATAAACAATTCGTTCGAAGTCACTGTCCTTCTGTGAACCATGGATCATCCTATACACGTCGGCATGAGTTACCTCTGCAGTCTGCAGTTAGCTGCACTGGCCGACTAATTACCGCCTGACTACTAGAATGACTAAGCCTATTGCAGTTCGGAAAACGCTTCATCTGATTTCTCACGAATCTCTTTAAGATGTCTATTGTTTCGACTTTTAGAATGAAGTAGACCGTCGATTGTCCCATGCCAGGTCATGTAGAATCAACATATCGAGACCTCCAGTTGATTCATTCCTTCGAAATGCTTCCTATTATACAGGAAGTTTATTTTAGATGTTTCCTCACTGAATTATCTAATGAAGAGAATCGTCAAAACTCTTATCGTGAGTCATGCAGAATGAACGTTTCGAGACCCCCAGTTTATTCATTCTTTCAAGCTGTCCCTCAGTAAACACTTCCTGTTTATGCAACAGGTGGATTTACGTTTCCACATTTACGAGTATCTAAGAGACAACTTGCCTCAGCTTTCAGGTCCTTTCTCATGCGCAAGTAGTAAAACCATCCAGTCGTTGTCACATCGCCAATAAGTGAAATAATGAAAGTGGTGTGTGATGTGAATCACAGAGATGATCACTTTGACGAGGTAGTAGTGAGTATAGACCCATTCAAATACCCCGCCAAATGATATCCATCCAGTCAAAATCAAGTTAGCCTACATCCTCAAAATTTCTTGTGTGGCTTATAATGTGACACTTACCACAATTGAAAGCATGACATAGACACCAACTCGTCGCGATCGAATTTTTTCCACGAATAAGAATATCAGGAACACAAGGAAACCGACTCCTCTGAAATAAATTCACAAACATCAAAAATTTGTTTCAGATATTACACAGTTAATCAGAATTGTGCGTTATTTTGGTTGATGCATCACAGTTCATAATAATCAAGTATGCAGAAATTGCATTTTCAATAGAAAGGGTTTTCAGTGTGATGGTCTCGGTATATTGATGCTGTTTTTCGTTTGCGACTTCAATTTTGCATTTGTCAAACTCTTCATTGGCACAGTGCTTCATGAAATCACTCGTTCTTTTTCACTGTAGGCGGAAATCTCTGAATTGATGATATGGTAAACCTCACCGTTTTCTAAGCAACGGAAAACATAAATGCTACGGTACCTGGCTTAATCTCTCTGCTGAGGCGACAAATAAGTGAAAACTACTCGTCACATGTGGTTTACAAATGACACAGGAAAAGGAAAGCAAGTCTGAGACTGCTGGGTTTGAAAATTTTCCCTTTCTCAAAAGCCCTTGAAAGGAGGATAATTTAACTAATGATTACACAGAGCGACTCTAGGTAAGGTCGTTGTGGAATCGAAAATATTTTATGATTGGTAGAAGAAAAGTTGTTCCTATACAAATTATGAACCATATTTGACTGAATATCAGTCGCTGTAAACACAACAGAACTCAGATAAATTATTTTAACCTCATCAGGGTGAGAAAATATTCATGGAAAACCGTAGTAGTGAATTCTGAGAAAAAGATGAGGAGACACAGTGAAAGGACAGTTTGCACAGATAAAAAGCTGAAATAAGCAAAATGTCCGAGTTGTTAAACGAAGAAGTCGAAATGTCACTGCAGAGATAACCTGCACCAAAATATTTCCATCAGTGTGGATTTTATGAATTTCAAAATATTTACAAACAAGATCATCCATAACGTCTATCTTTATAACCTACTAACTCTTTAAATCACAACCCCTTAACATACACTCCTTGAATACCGAATTTATATGAAATGCAAACAGTATATTGAGAATGGAATTTGTGTGAATCTAACAGCAGAATTGCATCAATTTATATTGAATGGGATAAAATATTTCTAAGTCTTCTTCATTCACAAATTTCAGACAGTGGACTATGCGGTTGATGTCTTTCAGGCACACGAGAAATTATGAATTCACTAGAAGTGTGTTCAGATCAAACAGTGTTCAAATATAGAGGAGATTTCCACACGTGAAACAGATGGTATTGTTATGGAACAACCAGTATCTCCCTCACTGACCAATCTGTGCATCCACTCATTGGAAACAGCTGCAATTGTGAGATGCTCTGATCGTCCAAGTACTGGAGATAACACTTTTGGACATCATTAAATGTAGAGTCCTAGATAAAAATCTTCATCTGATAAACAACATACCCAATAGTGTTAAGCTTCAGAAATATGTTGAGCCGTTTTCCCACATAACTGATGTTTCTTAACTGGTTTGTCTGATGACAACCAGATGATAAACAAAAACCTAATATCATCAGAAAGCGAAGACATTCGGACAGATACCCCAGCTATCATTGTCATTATTATTCAGCGAATCTCTTTGTCACTAAAGTGACTGAAGTTAAGACCCGAATTAACTTGGCTGAACAACTATTACCTGGAGTCGAAGTAAGCCACAGAAGGTTGAAATTGGTTGTAAACTGACTTAGGCTGACCCACTGTCCAGTCGTCAGTAGTCCGACGAATGTGGAAAGCGTAAACTAACAAATCAAGCCTACTCCATGGTTGTTTATATATAAAGTTGGTCCTGTGTGACTAGTTCTACTGAATGTCAAAATAAACACAAAACTTCCCAGAGCATGTCTAAAAATAATCAGACGTGGTTATCAAGATGAGAAAACGATTCACTAAGATCAAAGCAAATGATTAAACATATGCACACGGAGAAGAAGTTTATTGAGTACACAATATCTGGAAACCAGTTCACAGAACATTAGTAACGAAGAAGTCTCCAGTAGTCGTGGATATCACAATAATCAATACATTATGTCAAGAATGCTACTGAAGTTTCGTCATGAATATTATTCATATGGTGACATGATGCAAACCATTTGTCAAGATTTTATTCGATAATATCGCTAAAACTTCGGATTATCTGATATCTCAAAGTACGAAAAAGTCATATTTCTTGAAATAATAATTGACAAATAATTCCAACCTCTCCCTCGACAGATTGGAAATAGTGGGAGAGAAAGCATCTAACCTGTGAATAATAGGGTGCATCTGGGACCTAATATCGATGACAAAATCAGTACAAGCAGTTCCATGTAGGGTCTCTTTTCGATAAAGTAATCAAACATATTTGACTGAAAACAATAAGATTCGCGTTGAACGATGCACATATCTGGCTCCACAAGAACAGGTGAACTGACGTGTGCACATAGAAGTGGTCCGATGTGAGATCTCGTCCATTAGGATCCTTCATACGAGTGGCCTACTGACGAACAGCACGCTTATCGTTTCTGTGAAGAAAGTTCTCCTCGCTGAAACCGAAATTCCTCTCCTAAGAACGTCAACAATTAGGTTGCCGTAAAAGTCAAAGTTCATATAAGCTTTCGTATCTTGTACAGATTCCATGTTCAGCCTTTGAATTTTTAGCTTGACCTTCTCGACAATAAGCCTCGGTGTATGTCCATTTTTGAAGATTTCTTTCTGAAAGCCCTAGATCTTCTTCTAGAGAATTTGAGCTGCAGATGTGTGAGACGTGAGTGGCTCGAGAAATATTTAGGTTCTATTCACGGTCATTTGGTATTCAGCTGGAGAAACTTATCAGTTGGCTGTGCAATGTGGTTCTCTTACTGACCGATCCTCCCAATGACCCGTAGGTTCTTTGTGTAAATTCAACTTCATGAAAAGGAATTGAAGATTCATCTTCTCGTGAAACAGTGAACACTGTCGGTGGATTACAGCTGTTGAACATGTGTAACACTACTAATTGTGATCATGACTATCATCAAGGATAATAAAAATATCATCCATTTATCTAGGACACAATGGAAACTTATCAATATTTAACTTACGTGGATCATTCCTAAGAAATGTCATGAAACAGGCTGCTAGCAACGAAGCAAAGTGAGATCACACTGAAATCCAGTAATTTTGTCTGCAGAAGATGTCGTTTTTCGTGAATGGAACATAGTATTCCCTTTGTTTCCATGTGCATGCATATCAAAAGTTACACACTAACTTCCATATCTTACTATGTATTTCTGTCGACTTTATTCAACTTCTTATATGCACTCATTAATATCATTACCCCTCTTGTGACCATCCTTCTCTTTTTCTCCGTTCAGTTTAATCGTTCCATGTAAGTTCCCTACGGATGGATCCTTCTTAATGCGACTATTCAATTAAAGAAAACGAATTAATTGAAAAGAGACTCTACACTGAACTGCTTGTATTGATTTTGTCAACGATATTAAGGCCTAAATGCACCCTATTATTTATACCTTAGACGATTTACCTTCCATCATTTCCAATCTGTTGAGCGAGAGGTTAGAATTATGTATCAATAATTATTTTTACAAATATGAACTTCACTTACGTTGAAATATCAGCTGATCAGAAGTTTTAGCGAAATTATCGAATAAAATCTTGACAAATGGTTTGCATCATGTCACCATATGAATAATATTCATGGCGAAAATTTAGTTGGATTCTTGACATATGGTATTGATTATTGTGATGTCCACTATTGCTGGAGACTTCTCTGTTACAGATTTTCTGCGATGCATTCCAGTGATTAGTGTATGAACCAATTGTTTTTATATCTATCCTTGGAGCTTAATTACACACTTTACCGAAATTCAAATTTTTGCAATTAAAAGTGTTCTCTGAGCTGGTTGGTTTAGTCGTGAAGCTTTCGTCATCCTTCCGGACAACATCTTCAGCGACATTTGTGCTAAATATGGCGCTGAAGATGTTGTCCGGAAGGATGACGAAAGCTTCACGACCAAACCAACCAGCTCAGAGAACACGTTTATTTGCAAATCATCCACCTGAGCTACAAATATTCTCTGTTATTTCGAAATTCAAATTTATTAGCAAAATGTCTAATGGATGATCTTAATACAGATTAACACCAGACTCTCCCAGACCTTAAGGCCTTAATATAAATTAGGACTCCCATTTTCCTGACAATTCAGTAAATACTAATTTAGTAATCGAGTGTGCTGTGAAGTGGATTACTGCTCTGTATCAAAAATAAATTCCACTTGTCAAGGTGTGATGAATTCAATCGAACATTCGATAAATAATGTTGAACAGAGAACTTACAAAATGGTAAATTTTACCCAGGAATCCCTTTTGAAGAAATTCCAAATCACGTCCCTACAACCAAGAGAATATTTCATTGGAAAATTTTATGTATTCTTACACGAAGGTAAATAAGAGGACAACACCAGCTGTCACCATTATCATAAGAAGTGTATCTATTAGGATCTGAAATTAAAATTACTCACTCTCAATACAGTTTCATCTTACCCAAAAGTTGAAACGTGAAGGGGTTCGCTGTAGCCTTTCGTTCTTATATGTGGAATTGTCAAACAAATCATAAACGGAAGACATTTTCCAATGAGCTGAAATTGATGACGAAAATTATAGATGACAACGGCGCAGAAGTAACTTAATCACCTCAGAATATACATGATGAAAATGCACACATAGATTAGACTTTCCAAATATGCCAACGGAGAATATGGTGTGGATATGACTGTCAGATTATTTGAACATAATTCAGGTTCCGTAACACTTGAGAAATACACCTGTTTGCGAATGTTGATGAGATGGAGTCAGTGATCGTATGGAAGAGTGTGCTCTACGAAATTGAGTGGGTTGGAGAAAATCTCATTTGTGTTTCTCATACACGATATCAACTTTGAGGAAACAGCCTACTGGAGTTTCTCTTCTGCATCATCACAGAAAAACTGGTTACATTTGGCCATATACACAGAGTCAATATATGCATACAAGTATCAGACGATGACACCTTGCCACAAGACTGGGGAGGATAA